AACACTCTGCTTACTATGTAGTAAAAGCTTAAGGCATGCTTGCTGACTGGCTGATTTGCATGATTTATCCTGGTGAGAAAAGTGCTGCAAGAATGGGATTCACTTATCTTCTTTGGTACAGGATGCCAAGGGTCCCTCTCAGTGGAGATCTCCTTTGAATACTGTGCCTAGTACACTAGCTGTCCCTGCTGTTTGGAAGTCCTAGCTTCCCTCGAAAGCCCTCTCAGCCACCATACGAACAGTACTCCCCATCACTGCCCGCCCTTTGAGTGTAGCTGTGACCAACCTCCAGCGTCCCAACTCCAGGATTTTAGCCCCACTCTGTGGGCCCCTCCCCCCAAGTTGTTCTAATGCTCCCTTGACACAAGAGCAGAGCTGATTACCACCAGGGCCCAGCCAGGATGTATTTGAATCAATTTCCACTCAGTAAATGCTTAATTGAGCATCTACTGCATGCTCGGGCCCATGGGGGAAACTAAAGTAAGACAGACTCCTCCTCATCATACATTATCCATATGTTCATTAGATTTAGGGCTCAGATCCCATGTCGGTCTGTCACTAACGAGCTACATGATCTCAGGCAAGTCACAGCCCCTCTGGGTCTGGTTTCTTCATTTCCAAAATACAGAGGTTGAACCAGATGACCTCCGACGTGTCTTCTCATTAGAACTCTGTGATTCCATGTGCAAGGCAAGGGGGAAGTAAAAATCATCCCTACCTTTAGGGGGCTTATAGTCTAGTAGGACAGATGAGGTACCCAAATACTACTACTACTTTTATTAAAATCACAGAATATAATTAAAATGTTATTTTAAATGTTTAAATTAAATGTTTAATTATTAAAATTAAAATGATAAAATGTTCAATTATATTAAAATGTTTAATAATTATTAAAATGTTTGATTATATTAAACATTATATTTTAATATAAACATTATATTAAAATATTTAATAACAACAACATGATGCTTATGTAACAGAAGTACAAAGTGCTATGACAGTTCCGAGGAGGGGGGAATACCTACTGTGAACTGTGCTCAAAGCCCATTTGCACGGACTTTTCCTCGCTGATAGAGATTGATTTTTCAACGCTCCCTGAGCGCTGGAGGGAAGAGAGATCCTGGTCTTCTGGCTTCCAGCTTGGAGAGAGAAGGCATGTGGTTCCAGACTCTCTTCAGGTCCCTGAAGGCAAAGAAAGACTGTTAGAAGAAGCCTGCGTGTAGCAGCCGGCACTTTGAACCTGTCCCTATCCCTAGCTTACTGTTCTAGAGACTTCTGGAACCCCTTGGCTCCCCACCCCCAATCTGAGACTCTCTCTTGATTGGGCTAAGATATCTCAATTTCTCTGGAGAGCTCCTGACATATTCTCATCATATGCTTTTTCTGATTTCTGTTTCCGTTTGGGTGAATGGATTTTCGATTTGCTCTGTGTACTCACTATGAAGCTGGCATTTGGAGGGAAGGGAGCTAAGCCTTGGATATATAGCTTAGGATGCTCCTTTTCCCCTTAAGGGATAGTGATCAGGAGGGCAGCTTGAATCTAAAATTTATTTCCCTAATTAATTAAATTTAATGGTGCAAAGATGTAATTCTATCTTGGTACCTCTTCTCTCTCAGGAGAGCAAAGTGGCCGGCCTCAGGCCCCAATCTCCTGCTCTCCTCCTGGCAGGAATCAAAGCCTCCCTTGGCGAAGGATGAGGGGGAGATTTTAGTCTATGGATGACTTCCTGCAAGGCAGATTGAGACAGACACCTACAGATACACATAACCCACGTGGCAAAACAACCCACCGTGCACCACCCATCCACATGTTCAAAGGAGAGTGACCAGGGACAGATTTCATGTTGGGCTCATTTTTCCATATATTTTCTCATTCCTATTACAGTCTCAAGGCGCAGGACGACAGAGTGCATTGGGAAGTGGCTTGGGGGCCTTGGGGTCCGACTCATAAAAATTGTGTGACTGAGTGAATGACTTAATTCGGTGTACCAGGCAGCTAAGCCAGTAAGTTACAGATGAGTGGCTGACCTATGTTTGTGGAAGGAATTTCCACACCAGGTGCTCCCTACAGTGAAGTCATACATCTTGGCCAAAAAAGTCTCCCCCTCAAAACAAACCAACCAACAAACACAAAAAACCTGACCCTAAGCTCCTTTAGGGCAAGAATGGTCTCATTTATCATCATAATCCTAGGGGCCTAGCATGTTCATTTTACACTGAACATTTTTAATGCTTGCTGAATGTACTTAGAAAATTAAAGTATGTCATCATCACAACAGTCAAATGCCTATGGGCATCCTAAAACATAGCTCAAGGGGAATTCTTGGGGGAGATTTATGGTCAAGGGCTGAGCTTCCTGCAAAACTCACTGTCTTAACTCACCGAAGGACCACAGTGGGAGATGACTAGTTGACCACACACCAAAGGTGTCTTAACCTTACCTTCCGTCTAATGGGCCCCTCTGGCAGTCTGGTGAATCCTAGGGACCTCTTCTTGGAATGTTTTTAAATGCATAAAATAGGATTACAAAGGAAAGCAATCATACTGAATACTTAACAAATATTTTTTAAAAAATGCAAACAACCAAGTTCACAAGCCCCAGGTAAAGGCAGCCTGTGCGGCCTTTTACGTGGGAAGGCCTTCAGCATACTTTTATCATCCCAACCATCTCTCCCAAAACCTTTCCAGCACCCCTTTATGTTGTCTCCTTTCATTAGAATGTAAGCTCATTGAGGGCAGAGACTGTCTTGTTTGTATTTGTGTCTCTAGCACTTGGCACATTGGCACACAGTAAGTGCTTAATAAATGCCTTATCTATCTAGACCCAAGGGAACTCATAAAATAACCAAGACTCAGAAATAAGGAACCTGTTTTTGAGGGGGGAATAGAGATGAATGATAAAGGTCCCTTATTCAATCATGTAACTTTAATATGTTATAAGAACAGTTCCTTGGGCATGCCCTGCCCATTTAAAAATGGAAGACGAAGGGAATTATCATAGAATCATTGACTTTTAGAGCTTGAGGAGACAGACTATGAAAAGGAGCCCAAGAAGCAAGATAACTTGGTCAGAGCTCAAGCCTGGGTCTCTTATGAAGACTGTGTTCTTTGCTTTGCAGCCAGCCTCCCAAGAGTGCACCTGTTCCACAAAGTTCAAGGCACTTTCAGGAGACCCACGTTTGTGGAAGATGTGGGTTCCTCTTGCAAATAACCAGCTGTGAATTTTTAAAACAGTTACTCAACTTAGCTCATAGGTTGCTGAGGTTCAAATGAGATAATGTGAAAACACATTTGAAACATAAACACATAAGGTATTGTGCAGTTTTTAAGGTATCCATGAAATCTTAAAAAGAGTAGAGGAGGAAGGAGTGCAGCATTATGGGTAGAGGGGAAGGGCCTTTGGAGGATTTATGGAAAAATACAGGCAAGGTGTGGGTTGTGAACTGATTCAGAGTTGCTGTGACAGAATCTATCAATGTATAACCAAGTGTGACTAGTTTTTTTTTTTTTTTTTTAACATTTTTTGTGGACTGGATGGATATCCATTGGTAGTTCAGTGAAATCTATGGACCTCTTGTCAGAATAATGTTTTTGAATGCATAAAACACAGGATTAAAAAGGAAACCAAATATATTGATAAAGCTATTAAATTTTTTTTTAAAAAAACTAAGCTTACATGCCCCAGTTTCAGAATCACTGCCATACAATGCAATTGTAATTCTTGGCTCAGAGGCTCCCTCCTAACAGGAGTGTGGCCCACGTATGCTTTGGAGTCCTCTTACATATTATCTGGCTTGTTATTCCTATCACTGGTGAACTTCACTTCTGGCTCCTCCTCCAGAGAGCTCCCTTAGAATCTTAGAAAAAACGTCTGGGGCAAAAATGAATTTCTTTCACCTGAAACTTTTAGAGGATAGTTCAACAAGGTCATCTTTCGTCTCAATTCTTCCCTAGCTCTCAGTCATTGAATACGTATTGCCTCAGACAAAACGAGACTTGGGAAAGACCTTAATTCGAATCCTGCGCCATTGCCAGTCTTGATTTTTGTTTTGCCGCTGGACTCTGCCCACCAGAGGAGTGAGGCTGCTGACTTGGGGCAACTCTGCCTCACTTAAGTCCAATTCACGCGCAAGTCAAGATGTTGTTCTCAAGAACCAAGGGCCAACAACAGAAACAGGCTTAGTCCGGTGTACCTGAGGGACTTCCTCTTCCGAGGCAGGGGGAGTGCTGTGACCGTCTACGGGAACTCCTCTCTGATCCCTTCTTGGCTTTTAGCTTAGAGCCTAAAGGTTAGTTTGCAGTTTCTCTCTGCTCACATGACTTTGCACTTGTTCACAATGAAACACCTTCCACATTTCTGCCCATTCACAGATTTATGACATCGCCCTGCAACTTACTTCCACCTCTGCCTTGGCATTTCAGTCCTGGTAAGGGTTTCCTGCGAATCCTGGGCAATGAGTTTCCTGTGTACTTCTTCCAGACACTCGATAGCTGAACTCTTGGTGCTTTATTAAGGTATATGATACATGGTAATACATGAAATGTTCCAGGAGAGATGCCACTGAAGAAAGCTTACACAAATAGAGCTAAGTGATGATATTGCTGGTTGGGCTTTCAAAGAGATGTTTAATCATAGTACATGATTTTAGACAATTGTGAAGGGTATATTAAAAGAACAGCAAATTTGAAAGGAAAATAATTTCACCCATCAGGTTTTAAACATACATTTTTATTTTTTATAGTAAAAATAAAATATCTTATATTGATAGAAACAGTATGTACTCCTAGTGGAAAAAAATGCAAAAATGTTTCATGAGAGTGAGTGAAGAAGCCCTAACTATCTGACTGACAGTACCGAAATCCTTGAAAACAGCCAGAGCTTTATTACGGAATTAGCAATCGAAGAAAATACTGACATATGTAATAACAAGCTAACAACTGTACAAATGATAGCTCCATAATGTGTGCATTAAACAAGGAAGCTCTATACTCAGTGCCAATTACTCGGACGAACTGCCTCCAAGGTCAATATTTAACAGTACTTTGATTTTATCATACAAGACCAGCACCAAGGCACCACCGGTGCCTCTCAGGATATTGGAGAAGGCTCCTCGGAAGAAGGCCCCTAGGCCTTCATGCCGGTAGATCTTCAGGAAGCAGTCTATGGTCCCATTGTACTGGCGCTCGGCCTCACCACTCTGCAGCAAAACAAAGACCAGTCAGCATTTTCTTGATAAAAGTTAAAAGCTTTTGTCTCAAGACATTATCTATGGAGTAATAAGTAAATGCTACAAGATTTGGTTTTCAGTCATGGTAAAAAAATACTAATAAGCATTTTTTCTTCGTGAAATATAATTTAACTAAATTGCTTGCCCACAGGCAATTGTAATTTAAAGGGGAATCAGTAACTCTTCTCTCCCGCTGCCCCAAATCATGCCCTTCTCTTTAAAGAGTTTCAGGCCCTTGTGACAAATGCCTATGTCCCAGCCTTGGCCGAAGCAAGCAGGGACAAAGGAAGTCGGGATCACAACTTCATTTGGATTCATCCTGCCGGCTGTTGTGACAGTGGGGCTGGCGGTCTGAAACAGACATTTCAATACTCTGTGCCTTAACTCCTAGGCGGACCAGGAACCTACAGCATCCAAAGACCCCATCTATTCCTCCCCACCCTGAAGGTTTCATAAAAGGAAGTAGGAGCAGCCTGGCGGCTCAGTAGCTAGACGGCTGGGCCTCAAGTCAGGAAGACTCATTTTTGTGCATTCAAATCTGGCCTCAGACACTTAGTAGCTGTGTGACCCTGGGCAAGTCACTTCACCCTGCTTACCTCAGTTTCCACATCTGTCAAATGAGCTGGAGAAGGAAATAGCAAACCATTCCAGAATCTTTGCCAAGAAAACCTCAAGTGGGGTCATGGAGAATCAGAGATTCCACACTTTTTGTGCCATCGTTTCCCCAGTCAAAGCTTATCTTTTATCCTTTTCCTTCTCACTCCTTGCCTTCCTCTGTGTCTTTCTTATTCACCTACTGCATCTCTCTAGCTCCCAGCTTCTCTCCCCTGGCCTATATGAACAGCCTCCTCAGGTGGTCTACCTGCCTCCTCCTCTCACCTTCTCTCCAATGTTATCTTCTGAATGCACAAGTCTGGCCAGGTTATTCCCTTGCTCAAACACCCTGAATGGCTCCCCACTCTTTACTGAATAAATACAAATTCCTTGGCTTTGTCTTCAAGTCCTCTAAAGCCTGGGTCCAACTTTCCTCCCCAGGTGACGTTTGTGCTCTTTTCTTCTGTGCACTCTGCTCACTCCTCCTCGACCTTCTCCACCCTTCCTTTACCTCTGTGAACCTGTACAGGCCCCGTGGCACACCCCTCCCCCCATCCTCCACAGCTGACCTCCACTCCCCTTCCTCACATTCCCCCATCAGTCTGCTTGAACTGCTCTCAGTCTCTTAATCAGTGTGGAATCAGAAAGACATGAATGTAAATCATGTAAATACAGACAATTCTTGCTTTATGTAAGTGGACTGGACTGTCCATAGACCTCTATATGAAGTGATTTTTACTTTTATGTAATGTGAATTTGCCTGCAGACATGGGGAAGACAGAGAGGCAGGAAGGGGGCGGCATACTGATGGAGAGAGGGGGCCAGGACAGAGAGGTGAGAACAAGAGGAGGAACGTGCAGGTGGCAGATGTATGGGGGCTGGCCTCGGAGATGGGTGAAGCGGGGCAAAGGTCTCTTCTCAAGCCAAGCCCCTCATTCAGGCCTGGGTGACCACCTGCTTTCACTTGGAGGGGCAGAAGGGTGGGTGGAGTGGGGGGAGAAGCACAGTACTGTATTGTAATGTTAACAGAGGTATTTTTTTGGAATGCGGATTTCTTTCAGAATTCTTTACATAAAGTAGAATTCGCATAATGTGAATTTACATAAGGTGAGAATTGTCAGTAATATAAATCAAAATGTAAACCTAGCATTTGCTAGCTGTGACCCCTGAACTTTAGTTTCTTCATCTGTGAAATCACCATTATAATACCTTCTGAACTTTCTAATAGGCTCAAATAAGATCATGCATGTGAAGCTCTTTGCAAGCCTCAAGTGCTATACAAATGTCAATTATTATGCTATGAAGTTGAATAGAAACATGGAAAGAGTAGCAGCTTTGGAGCCAGAGGACCCCGGGGTCAAACCTCAGCTCTGCTACTTGCTATGTGACTCAGGGCAAGTCCTAGGACTTGCACCGGACGACGTCTAAGGGCCCCTTCAGTTCTCCATCTAGATTCTTGCTATTTATGTACGTGTATGTTGCTCCTTAGACGGAAAGCTCCTCCAGTGCAGGGATTTCCATCGCTTTTATCTTTGATTTCCCTACAGTTAGCTCAGCTTGGTCCCAGGAGCCCTGAGAAGTCTGAGGTCCGGAGACTTTTGCACTGAGTGCCGGCCGTGTCCAACGCTTCCCTCACTGTCCCCCTTGCTGTCCTCCGCTCTCCTTTTTATCACCAGCTCAAACCCCTGAAGTTCCTCTGACTTCTCTGCCGTCTTCCCGGGTCTGGTACAGGACCAAGCCTGCCGAGCCCATTGTGTTCGTGACACTGCTTCCTTCCCATCCCCACCGCCATTATTCCAGGCCCTCATTACCTCCGCGCCCCATTTCTAGCTGCTCGCCTTGTCTCTCTGCCTCCAAGCACTGACCAGTCCACCGGACAGAGGGCTGCTCGTTTCTATCTCGGTCACTCTGTGACCGGCGCCCTGGAGGTTTCCATGCAGACCACAGCTCCCCGCCTTCTCATTCTGGACTTTTTGATCACCTTCACATCAATGTCCCACAGAAATTCTGCCGAGGCCTTCCTCACATTTTTCACTACAGCAGGGGCAGTAATGCAGGATCCCAGCTGTCTCCCTCACTGCACATCCAGCCCACTATCTTTTATGATTAGACTTGTCCCGAATGCAATCTTTTACTCCACTTCTCACAAGTAAGTGACTGCTGAGAATGTGCTATGGTCTACTTATGGCTACCCTGTGTCACACCATCTGGGTCATTTGTAATTTTGCTTCTTCCAAATATGGTGCCCTGGTTTTGGCATCAAAGGACCTGGATTCAGGTCACATTCTATAACCATGGGTGAGTCCCTTAGCCAAGGCCTCAGGCTCCTCACCAATAAAGTGAGGAAACATCAGAGTAGGTAACTCCTGTTTGAGTCAAGTACCATGTACATCTTAAAATAATATCTAAGTGGGAGTTAACAGTATTTTCACAAGACCAGAGACGGTTTCTGTTCTTTTGGTCTTGGATGAACAGCCCTTTCCTGCTCTGAATCCACTGACAGATGACAAATGCCCTGTTTTGTTTCAGTTTTGGACCCAAACTACCAGGAGACTGGCCTGTGTCAAGCCCACCTGATTACTGAAGTATATACAACTTTGAAGACCATCTCATCTGTTTAATCTAAATTCATGACAACAACAAAAATAAAGTCAAATACCTGCATCATCATACGTCTCCTGACCGTGTCAAAGGGGTAAGACAATATTCCAGAGCAGGACGTTACCACTTGAGCAATTAAAAATGACAGAAGAAATGGGATTTCCTTTGGATTTGGTAATAAGCCCTAATAAGGAAAGGAGGTTATATTCAGTGATGGTTTAATTTCTGAAATACCCTAAACTGCAAGTCAAAGGACAAATCTTGTAAAATATTAAGGTAAAAAGAAGACCTACTCACCCAAACTGAAACTGTGAACCTTACAAACCAAGAGGGAAAACAATAGGAGCTTGGAGGCCAGGTGACTCATGCACACATTATTATGGGTCAGGATCACTGTCAGTAGGTGCTGAGAACCAGCTGGCGACGGCTGGCAGGCAGCAGCGGCGGCTACCCACCACCGTCCTTTGTGAGGAATGGCTGAGTTGGCTTGTAGCTCTAATGGCACTTGGAGCCAGAGGGGGCCAAGTGTCCAGTTTTCAGGCAGCTGCTGCCATCACTATCATAAACAGCAAAGCTCCCGAGCTGGCACAAAGGAGGCCTGTGCACACACTGGAGGCCACATCCTGTAACTTCCACTGAATTGAGGGGAAGAGGCTGTTGCCGGGGGTGGGGTGGGGTGAGGTGTGGCACAGTGCCCAAGCTGTGGGGCCTGGAGGCAGGAGGACCTGAGAGCAAACCCAGCCTCAGGAACTGACAAGTTGTGGGACCCTGGGCAAGTCACTTAACCTGATTGCCTCAGTTTTCTCATCTGCAAAATGGGGATCAAAATAGCATTTACCTCCTAAGGTTCTTGTGAGGATAAAAATATTTGTGAAGTGCTTTGCAAACTTTTTTGTTTATACACATTATTATTATTGTTAAGAAAGTAAATAATAATAATTACAACTAATAATAACCAGGTTCCTGGTTTAGCACAATGCATTAAAAGTCTAAAATAAATAGGTTCAAACCACATAACAGACAAACTAGCTAATTTTAACTATGCAAAAAGAGGATACCATGGACAAATTAAACACAGAGATATAATTGGGGGGGGGGGGATTTCACTTCAAGCAGTGTCCTCTACACCTATCTATCTTGATAAGTACTGACTTGTCTACAAGCCTTTGGAGACAAAGCTAGGAAAGGCAAACAGCAGAATAAGAACTTATAATAGACTGTATTTTTCTTTTTTTGTTAAACATTTCCAAATTACATTTCATCTGGTTTGGACCTATCTCAGGAGTTTTGTCACCTCTGATTTAGAGCAACTAGAAAACGTCAGCAAATGCCCCTCCTATTCCTTCCTTTTGAGTACATTCTGTTTTGTCTCATTGCAGCCGATATTGTCGTGCTAAGTAAGCATACCTGATTCAGGCCAAGTTCAGGCCAATTTACAAAAGTGAAATTAATGGAGGAACAAAATGAGAAAATTACCTTAATTGTGTCATAACATCCAAAATAAGAGGCTCGATACACAATGATGCCCTGCACAGAAACACCAAACCCTTGGTACAAACCGGTGATGCCATCAGATCTCATGATCTTGACAAGACAGTCTCCTAAACCTTTGAACTGTCGCTCTTCAGGACCTACGACGAAGCATATTATTTCCTATTAAGCAACACATAATCTATAATAAGAATTAGGCAAATGGCTTTCTTAATCTTAATTTATGATGCAGAAGTCTATATCTTGAATTTTGGAACTGCAACTCAAGCAATCTAATGAAAAAAGAAAATTAAAGATTAACGTAAGATTTCTAACAGTACATTTAAATCATTTTTATCTAAAATGTTAATAAGTAATAAAAATCATTTTTATCTAAAATGTTAATAAGTAATAAAATATACTCTAAATTAGGGTGCTGTAATCTTAGACAGGAGAAATAAAAAATTACCCTTTTCTCTAACAAATTAAAGTATCATACAGTACACAGTCAGAAGGCACTGAATGGGAAGTCTATTCTTGACTTCAAGGAAGTCATACATCTAAGTCTATTCACAAATATAATAAACGTTTTAACAGGTTCACAAAACTAGAGCTGGAAGAGGCCTCAGTGGCTGTCTTTTCTAACTTCCTCATTTTGCAGATACAGAACCTGGGAGGGGGGGTGGTGGTGTCAGTGAGGCTAAGGGACTTGCCCAAGGTCACCCAAGTAATCAAAGTCAGAAGAGGAATTTAAACCTATGTCTGTCTGCTGACTCCAAGGCCAATCGTACCACAGTGCAAATAAATGGCATTTGAGAGGGCAGCTAGGTGGCGCAGTGGATAGAGCTCTGGCCTTGGAGTCAGGAAGACCTGGGAGTTCAAACCTCACACACTTGATACCCGCCAGCTGTGTGACCCTGGGAAAGTCACTTAACCCCAACTGCCTCACCAAAAAATAAAAAAAAATTTGAATTTCAGATGAAGCACCAAATACTTCACTTACAGTTAGCAAAACTATCTTTTCCATTAAATTGGAGATACTTGGCATATAATAATCATTCTATTAATAAATACAGAATGAATTATAACAAAATAAAACTACAAATATAACCAACTTTCAGAAGCAGAGAAACACAAGATCTTAAAAAAAGGGATATGTAGTGGGCTACATTTTTATCTCTTACAAATTTCAATAGAACTTGCATGGCTCATTTCTATATCAGTTCTAATGTTTAAAGGTAAGAATGTCTACTTCCCAAACAAATATTTATTGCAAAAGTTGGCATGAAATAGTTAATTGTCAATACAAAAATTAGATCTCTCCCCAAACATGTCTTACATTACAAAGGGGATATAATTTATATGCCTTTTTATTAAACAAAGAACATATTAAAGTAAGTTCAACTCTCTTTAATATGTTTTAGTGTGTATTATTTTAAAGGATATCTTAAAATATGTCCACATAACATTTACTTTAGGTAAAAATTTAAAAATTATTGTATACTTGAGGTATTGACATTTGCCAAACTCATCTATATAGTCACGTGATATTTGCAAGTCAAAATATATGAAACTAAATTTGAATGAGGATTTGTGGCTTAATATGCTATAAATTCAGAGTATTTTTAAGATGTCTACAAAATCATTTTTTGATGCTAAAAATTGAAAATTTTCATAACAGGTATTTTAATTACTAAATGTTAGGTTAACTGGAATATAATTCTAATTCTACCCATAACACATTATGTGACTTTTACATTAAATGTATTTGTGTGTGCATGTGTGTATGTATGTATAACACATTAAACTCAACTGAATTAATGTTTGAAAATATCATATAAGTAGATTTGGCCTTCACCGACAATTCTATCCCTAATAAATAAATGGCTTGCTTTTTATACGGTTACTGGCCTCACAAGACTGGGTTGGAACATCAAAAGAATATTAGGCCTGGCAAAATGCAACCTTTGTTCATCTCTTTTGGATCGTAGTTAACGGATTTTTTAATTAAAAAAAAAAAAAGTCAGCAAGTTACGTAGTGGTATACTTAGGAAATATACGAAACTCCATCTCTACTGCATTTCCTGTATAACTATCTCTCTCTCTCTCTCTAGTGCGCACACACACATACACACACACAGACACAACTACTGCTATTTTCCAAAATGTCTTACCTTTTCCAATATCAACCCCTAACCGAGTTCGGGCAAAATCTAACGGGTAGACTACACACAGAGATGTTGCCCCAGCAGCTCCACCTGAAGCCAGATTAGCCAAAAACCACCTCCAGAACTGAAACATGCATGAATGGTAAAAAATTAAAACAAGCATTATGAGAAAAATGTTAAATGTGCACTAATACATACTTAGAGTGGAGTCATAAGCAACCAGGTTGGATAATTTTACTTTTTCACACAAATAATGATACTAAGTTATGATAATAACAATAACAATAACAGCATTTCTCAAGAGCTCTATCTTTTCTCGTTCGCTCTTCACAACATTCCTGTGACTCGTTTACCGAAAAGAAAGGAAGTAGAAAGGAAACTGGTATTGGAGTTTAGACTTTCCTTATTTCCAGATCTATGCTAATGACACCAGAATCAGAATTAAAATTTCGCATGGTGCTTTTACCAGCTTGCAAAGCTTTTTTTCATATATTAACTTCCATTTTACAAAGGTAATATGTTTGAGGCAGGATTTGAACCCGGCTGTTCCTGACTCCAAGTCCTGTGCTTGAGCCACTACATGTATCAGAACCCAGTTCTGTGTCCAAGAAACACTTTCCACATACCTTTACTTTAATATTCCCAAATCTGGACATTAGCAGATTGTGAGCTCAAGGTGTCTGCCTGACTTGAGAGATGGATGTACGCTAGGTGTGGAGTCTCCGTGTGGCCTTGCACAAATGACCTAACCTAGGGAACCAACCCAATTCTATGCCTCAGCTCCTTCTTCTGTCCAACTGAAGGATGGACTACAGAAGACCTCTGAGGCCTCTCTCCCATATCTAAATCGAAGATATCAATGTTTCAAACCATATGCTTCATAGGCTCACTGTCCCAACCTCAACCTCTGACTTACCATCTCTACTTTTCACTAGGTAAGTCTGAAAGCTATTAATACATTTTTCATTGCAGTAATTCTCATTAGCTTTAATATTCTGATAGATGACTATGTATAATATATTCAAGTCCTGAAAGAATACCAGAGAGATCTATAATATGAAAGTTTATAAAATACATAATGCCATGCGTAAACAAAATGTGGCTATTTGGTTCTAACATCTTTTCTTTGAAAATTTAAAAATTCAAGGGGCAGCTAGGTGGTGCAGTGGAAAGAGCACTGGCCCTTAAGTCAGGAGAACCTGAGTTCAAATCAGGCCTCAGACCAAACACTTGACACCTATACCTGTGTGACCTTGGCAAATCACTTAACCCCAACTGCCTAAAAAATAAAAAAAAAGTAAAAATCCAAAGTCAGGATGGCTTTATACATCAAATTCCTGTGACATTAACTCAATCAAAGAGGTATTCCCACCTGATGGGGTGCCAGGGTAAAAAGCATCTTGTTAGTTATAGTAACTGGGGTGGAAGGATTGGGAAACTTCTATTCCTCATAAAAAGAGTTTTTTTTTTTTGCTTTTTGGTGAAGCCATCAGTGTTAAGTGACTTGCCCAGGGTCACACAGCTAGTAAGTGTGAAGTAAAAAGAGCTTTTAAAAAAACTTTTTCACATAACATAAAATAAACCTACTCACTTTTATTTAAAATTTTTACCTATAAAAGAATTCTATTTAGGTTTTTAAATTCCATGAACTATTAGAGGCTCTGAAGACTTGAAATATTAAACACATAAATGTTGGTACAACATTAAGAAGATATAATAAATGTGAACTATTATATGTAACAGAGATAGGGACAGGAGACTGGACCTGTGATTTCCTGGTCTAGAGCAGGGGTGTGGAACCTGTGGCCTTGAGGCCACATGTGGCCCTCTAGGTCCTTGGGTGTGTGTGGCCTTTTGACTGAACCCAAGTTTGACAGAACAAATCCTTTTGTGAAGGGGATTTGTTCTGTGAAGTTTGGGTTCAGTCATAGGGCAGCACTTGGGGACCTGTAGGGCCACACGTGGACTTGAGGGCCCTAAGAGCATAGAGAGAGCAGGTAATCCCCTCTGCCAAAGTGGGCCGCCACCTTCTCTGCACCACAGAGTGGGGAGTAAGGCAGAGCCGAATTCAAATAAGCTCTCTTGGCCTCAGTTTCTTCATCCGTAAATGGTGACATAGTCTTACTTCACAGATTCGTGGTAAAGATCAAAAGATAAAATATGGACACTGCTTTGCAAACCTTCAGGTGCTCGATAAAAGCCACAATTATTCTTATTAGAAATCACTCAGGTTAAGTGACTTGTCCAGGGTGATACAGACGGTATGTGTCAGAGACTGGACTTGAACCCAGGTCTTCCTGGCTCCAAGGCTGGCTGTCTATTCACTAGACTACACTGGCACATCTTGCTTATTATACGAATAGCACATAAAACCAAAACTAATGTAACTGGAGGCAAACCTTGCCTTTTAAGATTCTCTCTTAAGCGAACTCTCACATTTAACAAACGGTTAAAATAGTTTAAAGAATGTTAGGGATGATAAAATGAATTACCTGTTTATCTTTGTTAACTCCTGACATGAAAACTTGTTTGTATTTGTCCTTAAAAGCGAAGTTCAGAGCTTGTGTTGGAAAATATCGAATAACATTTGCCAAATTGCCACGCCAATAACTTAAAAAACCTTTGAAGAGAAATTATTCTAATTATAAATTTATATTACTAATCCCGGAGTCTTGTTAGTGTTCTACGTGGAATTACTCAGATGTAATTCTGAGCAACTCTAAAACAAAAATTAAAAATATTTCTATTTTTAAATTATACTGAGAAATCCAAGACATCTATAAGCTTGTGGACAGTATAGTCACCTGAACCAAGGCTTCTTCCATACCCAATACTGAACCACCATTGCAATTCCCGGGGGGTGTGTGTGTGTGTGTGTGTGTGTGTGTGTGTGTAAATGGGAGACACAGAAGAAAGTAATTAAGGATACTTGTATAAGGTTCTGTTAATAAGTGAGGGAGAGGGAGCAGGAAAGAGAATTCAAAACTGAAAAGAAAATAAAATTGCAGAGCAGATCTTTGAATCCAAATCCCAGCAAATATCTGAAATGCACCTACCCTAGAAAGACCAATGATAAAGACAACTGACAAGAAATACAAGCAGGCTCCTCCATCCAATCCAGAGCTGCACAAAAAGACTGGCAGGGAGAGAAGTAGCAACATGAGCTCAGGTGAACACCTGGCCCTCCAGAGGTCATGCCAGCCTCAAGCTCGGGTAAATACAGAGGTGGCAGAGGAGAGCTCTCACAGACAACCAGTGCTCTCAACATGATGGTCACAAACCAGCTGGAGCCCTAATAATGGGGGAGATGAAGGCAAATCCCAGCCCCCTAGCACTGCCCAGAGACACAAAGCTGAACACTTCTCAGAACCAGGGCCAACTCAGTACTTGAGGGGCAGTGGAGGGTGGGGGCATGGCGGCAGAGGCCTGAGACCACAGCTGTAGTGGACCCTCAGGAGAAGGTGAGAGGAGCTGGGGGCTGAAGGAGGGTGCAGGGCCAGTCACCCCCTCCATATGAGAAACAAGGGCAGCCGCCAGACTAAGGACTGTACCCATCCCAGCCAAGAGGGCAGGTACAGTTCAAGCACAAAACCCAAAACCAAGATTTAAGGCTGAAACCAAGTATAATATAGACCAAGAGAAACCCAAGAGGGAAATGAGAAGACAGTAATGCCACAATAAGTACAAGCCAAGTCTCACAGGAAGGAAAAAAAAAAAGGAAGAAAAAAAAAAAGGCTTGGTTCCAAGGACTACAAACATTGCTGGTAAAAAGAAAGAAATGAAATTATAAGTAAAATGAAGGGTTCCAGAAGAAAAATGGAAAGTAGCTTAGGAAAGAAGGTAGAAAAACTTATTAATGTCGTAAACACCCTGAAAAACAGAATAGATCAAAAAAGAACTTAATGACTGCATGATGCAAGAAATATTCACACAAAATCCAAAAAATGAAAAACCAAACAAAACAAGACACTCCAGAATAAACTCTGTGTATCTACAAACAAAAACAAAAAAACTGAAAAACAGGTTGAGGGAAGCAAAAAGAATCATCAGACTCCCTGAAATGTGTGACCAAGCAAAAACCTTGGACACCATAGTTCAAAAAAACAAAAAAGGAAACTGTCTGGGTTGATCAGAATCAGAGGGTAAGCGAGAAGAGGAAGAATCTGCTGATCACCAGCTGAAAACACCCAGGATGTCACAGCTAAGACCCAGAATTTTCAAGCCAATTAATAAATACTAAAAGAGCATCTTACCAGTATCCACTGGAAAGAAATGCTCCAGTAACAACCTGCAAAAATGAATATAATCCTACAGAAGAAAAAAACAAACTGTCAGAAGCAGAGATCCTCTTCGGAGAAGAGTAGAAACTCTGAAATGCAAGCACAGAAATCAAGATAAATACAAATAATTTAATGTGCTACTAGCTCTATTTCCAGAGATGATTAAGAAAAGAGGAAAAGAACCTATACAAATATTTATGGCATCTCTCTTCGTGGTGGCAAAGAACTGGAAATGGAGGGGATGCCTGTCAATCGGGGAATGACTGTACAAGTTGTAATACGTGATTGTGATGTGCAACACTATTGTGCTATGAGAAGTTATGAGCTCGATGATTTTTTAAAAACATGGAAAGACTCACACAAAATAATGAACAGAACCATGAGAATGTTGTGTACAGTAATAGCAATATTATTTTAAGAACAATTTTGAGCAAATAAGTAATTCAGACTATTATAAATACCTAAATTAACTACAAAGGACATATGAAGGAAGATGCTATCTGCATCCAGAGAAAGAACTGATAGATGTATAGAATGATTTTACACACACACACACACACACACACACACACACACACATACACTTTTATGTCTAATAGCAGCCATCTGTAGGTGGGGGGAGGGAAGAATAAAAATAATTTACCTAAAAGCTTCATTATATATCTAAAAGGAATAGCAGGCTGCATGTAATAAATTTGCAATTTCAAGTGCAACCATCTTTTTTATTATACTATGTTATGGGAATGCTTGTTTTATTCCATAAATTAAAAATGAAATAAAAATTTAAAAAAATCTATGGGTCAAAGAACAAAAAACAGCACCAGATAATTAGAAAAAATGACATGAGGCAACACATAGACCAAAACTTTTGGAAGTCAAAGCAGCCCTTAGGGAAAAATTTTTATGTAAATAGTTTCACCATCAAAAACAAAGCATGGAATTTAAAAATTTTAAAAAGCAAATGTATTTTTAAAAATCCCAAAGTAAGCAAAAAATAAAAAAAGAAATTTTAGAAATCAAAGTGATAAAACTATGAGTTGTTTCTTTCAATAATGTAAATTAGCTAAAATTTGATTTTAGGAGGAAAAACAAAATGTTAACATCAAAAATGAAAGTCAAAACAAATTAAGATAAAATAAGGAAAATTGTTACAAACTATGTTGTCCAATTTTATTCTACCAAAACTGTTAACTTCAACGAACTGGATGAATATTTATAAAATATAAAATACCTAGATTACCGAACAAAGTGATAAGGAATTTATATAACACAAATAACAACAAAAATTGAAAAGCTCATAAGGAACCCTGCTCAAGAAAAAATACCAGAACCAAGATGGACTGACAAATCACATTAAATAACAGAATAACAGATACGAAAAAGAATAGAAGAATAATAAAGAATAATTAATTCCATTATTATACAAATTGTTTGCACACACAAGAGATACTACCAAACTCCTTCTAGGACATAGATTTGGTAATGATGCCTAAACCAGGAAGAAATGAAACAAAGAAACCTAGAGACCACTATCTCTAATGAGTCCCAATACAAAATTAATCAAATATTTGTAAAGAGGCTACAACAACAAACTAAATAGATTATACCCATGTGCCAGGATCGATTTATACCAGTGACGTAGAGTTGAATGATTACTGGTAAAACTATAAACACTGGGGGCAGCTAGGTGGCACAGCGGATATGCAGGGTGCGGGGTCTGGAGTAAGGAAAACTCATCTTCCTGAGTTCCATAGTGTTTAATAACAGTGGTAGAGAGGGCAGAAAAATTTCAGTGTTGGCCATCACCTCAAAAAATTACAATAACACTTTTCCCCCTCTTCTTTTCGTGCTATGACATGCGGGGCATGAACTGGTAATAAAAAATAATAAAACGTTGCAGTGCATCTACATGCACGGCACTGAAGAGTTTAAAAATGCATTGTATTTCTAAGACCTTAAATTATATAAAAATGCATTGTGATTTTAAAGGGTTGAGGACAACTACCGGATTTCTGTTGTAGCTTGAAAATAGCCACAGACAACGTGTAAATTAATGACTATGGCCGTCCTCCAGTGAAACTTTATTTATGGCCACTGACATTTTAATTTACATAATTTTCACGTCATGAAATACTCTTTTGATTTTTGTAAGCCTTCTTTTAAAAAATTATTTTTCTGAATTGAAGAAATCATATACGCATTTCCATAATGAAGTCGAATTGAAAAATAGAGGATTGCATCTGAAATTGCAGTTCCATTTTGTACAACTTGGTACTCCTTTCAAATATGATTCCCTCCAACTATTAAAAAAAAATTAAAAACCATTCTTAGCCGGTGGGCTGCACAAAAACAGGCCACAGGCCAGAACTGTCCTCCAGATGCTAGTCTGCCAACCCGTTTTGTTGTTGTTCACTGGTATCTGAAGTCTTCCTGACCCCATTTGGTTGGTTTTTTTTTTGGTAAGGCAGTTGGGGTTAAGTGACCTGCCCAGGGTCACAGAGCTAGTGTCGAATGTCTGAGGCCGAGTTTGAACTCAAGTCCTCCTGACTCCAAGGCTGAAGCTTTGTCCACTACGCCACCTCGCTGCCTCCCATTTGGGGTTTTCTTGGCAGAGACACGAGGGATTTGCCATTTCCTTCTCCAGCTCATTTGAAAGATGAGGAAACTGAGGCAGAGTGAAGTGACTTGTCCAGGGTCACACAGCTACTAAGTGTCTGAGGCTATATTAGAACAAGCCTTCTTGACTGGACTCCAAGCCTGGTGCTCTATCCACTGTGCCACCTAGCTGCCCCACCCCTGCTACAGACCATCATTGAGCACTGACACAAAAACGCTAAATAAAACGTTAGCAAAGAGGCTACACCAAGATATAAAAAGATGTATGCTATGATCTGGTTGTATTTTTCTTCTCAGGAATACAGGGTTGGTTCAATAAAACTATAAATATAACTGACCATATTAACGTGGCTCAGTGGATAAAGCCCTGGGCCTGGAGTTCAAATCCGGCCTCAGCGCTCACTAGTTACATGTGCGTGACCAAACCAGTTTAACTTCTATCTGCTTTAACTTCCTAAACTGCAAAATGGGAATAATAATAACACCTACCTTGCCTCTCGGGGTTGTTGTCAGGATCAAATGACATATATTTTAAGAAGTGCTTAGCACAAAGCCTGACACGTAGTAGGTGCTCAATAAATGCATATTCCATTCCCCTAATAACAAAAATCATACGATTACACCAAAAGGTGCAGAAAAAGCATCCAACAAAATATAAACGTGTTTAAAAAATGGGAAAACATAAGAATAAAGGGACTTCCTTAATCTGTCTAAAACTAAGTAC